AAAAGGATTCTTTGTTGAACAGACCAATTTAGAAGTACACAGTCTGTTTTGCAGTGTGTTTGGACTTTCATTCTTGCTGTAGTTTTCATATGCAAGTGTAATTATATGCCCTATGATTTCCAGATCCAATCTCTAAAAACGTATTCTTTGGGAGTTTGTCTTTTCTTTACCTGTAAATTGACTTTTGCTATAGACATAACTTTTAGGGGGCAGCCTATGTATACTTTATTTTTTAATTTTGGGTCTTTTTGAGACAGGGTCTCCGTGTAGCCCCAGCTGGCTTGGAACTCGCTATGTAGACCAGGCTGGCTTTGAGCTCACAGAGATCTGCCTGCCTCTGCGGGGACAAAAGGTGTACGCCACCACTCCTGTCCTATGTGTACTTTAAAGCCTTTATTACTTAGCTTCCAACAGTCTGTAGCTGTGAAAATTCATGTTCATTGTTCTGTTCAGGTGTTCTCAAAATAATCCTGTCACATACCAGCCCCTGCTCCCTGACTTCCTGTTTTTCTCTGTTCCTTCTTTTTTTTTTTTTTAATTTAAAAATTATTTTTCCATGCATGGGTCCTGGAACTCACTATGTAGACCAGGCTGACTTTTAACTCACAGACATCTGCCTGCCTCTGCCTCCCAAGTGCTGGGATTAAAGGCGTGCGCCACCACGCCCGGCCCCTTACTTTTTTTTTAATGTACATAAGTGTTTTACCTGCATGTTTGTAAGTGTGCCACATACATGCAGTGCTGACAGTGGCCAGAAGAGGGCGTTGGATCCCCAGGAACTGGAATTATGGTTGTGAGCTGGGAACTGAACTAGGCAGTGCTCTTAACTGCTGAACCATCTTTCCAGCCCCTTCCGTTGCTTCTTTTTCTGCCGTTTTAGAAAACCTCCCTTTTCCAGCTAGCAGCTAAGTTAGCAACTGAGCCTCAGGAAGTTGTCCCAAGAAGCAGGTGTGCCATTGCCAAGTAATCCCAAGAGTCATCTAGGGGTGGCAGCTCCTTGGTAGAGGTGGCAAGGAAACTAGGCCTGATGTGATGTGTGTAGTTCTCTCAGGCCCAGCCCTCAGGATCAGGCCCTGCTGTGGGTTCCATCCTGTGGCTCAGGGTGACTTTTTTGAATGGAATTCCATTTTCTCCCCACATCAGCTGGCAGAGATTCTGAATCTTGCCCACAAATTGTTAGCTATTTTGCTTTTTGGTCCCCAACTTGCCTTTGAATAAAGAATTGATGTGTTTTGGATTCAGGTTTGTGTTACTTAGTAAAATAAATTGAATCCATACTTTGAAATGCCTATAGATTAAGGTCTCAGTTCCAGAAATATTGAAAAACATCAATACCTATAATTAATGTATACAGTACCCCCTCCCCCACCTGTAGGTGATAAGTTCTAAGAACCATATGTATGGGATGCTTGGAGCCATAGGTAGTACCAACTCCCTTTCTCTCCAATAAAATAATTATAACAGTATACTGTAGTAAAAATTACATGACTCTGCCATCTTCCAATCTGATTGTGCTGTAGATCTTATTAGCTTTATATATAATTTCTTTTCCTTTTTTTAAAAAAAAAAAAACTTAAAAAAAAATTTTTTTTTGGTCTTTTTGTGACAGGATCTCCCTGTAGCCCCAGCTGTCCTGGAACTCACTATGTAGACCAGGCTAGCCTTGAACTCACAGAGATCTGCCTGCCTTTGCCTTCTTGAGAGGGAGTCTTGCCTCACACTGGCCTCACACTCATGATCCCCCTTCCTAGTTTATGGGATTACAGTTGTGGACCACCATGCCCTGTTCTTTCTAATTACAATGAGAATTTTCTCCTTTTCACTTGAAGGAAGAACCTTCTGACTTCTCTTTGTGCCGAGTTGCCGGCATCGCTGCTCTTGCACTTCATAAGTGAAGCAAGGGGTGTCTGAGCACAAGCAGTGCCATGTTGCAGCAGATTGGCTACTAAGTGACAAGAGGAAGATAGTATGTCCCGGGATGCACTGGACAGAGGGATGACTCCTGTCCCAGGCAGGAAGGAGCTGGCAGTAAAGACCTCCTCAAGCTTTTAGGAGTGCTATGCAATTTTAAACCTGTGCCTGGTACCTTCTGGACTTTTCCATTTAATATCTCTAGATTATAGTTGGTAACTGAAGCTATAGAGGGTGAAACTGTGGCTCAATAGAGTTCTAACTGTATTTGTATGTTTATCAGTTCCAGGCATTCTCTTAAGCAGGTTGCATACATTATTGGTTGATTCCCGGCAGCCCTTGAAAGAAGGTTCTCGGGGCTGGAGAGATGACTCAGTGGTTAAGAGCACTGCCTGCTCTTGCAGAAGACCTAGGTTTGAGTCTCAGCACCCACATGGTGGCTAACAACCATCTGTAACTCCAGTTGTAGGGGAATCTCATGTCATCTTTTGACCTCAGTTGGTATTGCATGACATGTGTTACATACATGTAAGCAATACACTCATATACATAAAATAAAAATAATAAAGTATTTTTAAAGAAGGTTCTATACCTCCTTCACATACACATATTTCATAGATGAGCCAAAATGTATAAAATGACTTGCTTTATGTTATGCATTAAAAATAGTTCTAAAAATTTGAATCTAAGCAACTTGACTTCTCTAGAGTTCCAGCTTTTGATACTCAGCTGCTAGGCAAAACTTCACCTTTCAATATTTTGAGGAATCTTAAATCTCATTTCCTTGAAGAGCAGACAGGAATTTGATGTTTTATAGGAATTCTGTAAAGAGATAATTGTTTGTCGTGATGCTGTCTGGAGAGCTGTCCTGAGAGAAGCAGGTGCAGATAGCAGTTATTGGAGTTTTGTGTGTGATTTGGCTCAGTGACACAAGGTAGAAATGTCAGTGGTCAAAGGTCATACATCCCAAGGCTTCTTACAGGTCAGAAAGCTCTCTCCTTATTAAATCCTTTTCTTTTCTGCTTATCCCAATTTTTCTATGGTGAAATTCTGCCTTTGTGAATTCTTTCCCTGTATCCTGCTCTTCTTTCCTGGGTGGAGGGCCTTTAACATCCTCTGTTTGAACCAGAACTTCCAGTGCTATGTTTTCTGTTGAACAGCTCTTTCCCATAGTAGATATTTCACACTCCTGGAAGTTTAGGCCGTGCCTGGTTAATCCTGGTAGCTTAGGTTACACCAGCTTATTTCATCACATTCCATCAGTAGGCTAGGCTCACTCATGTTCTGAGAACTGAGTTTAAACCTCACTGCCTTTCCATAATCTTCCATAATCTTCAATCTGATACCTGAAAAAACTGCAAAGAATGTCATCTTTATGCTAGACACTCATACATGTGGATACTTTATCTTGTATAGTTCCATATAATCTTTATTTCTCTAAGCTAAATAGTTACTGATACTGATTTATGATTTGGTTACATAATTGAAATAGATACAGAAACATTTGAGTATTTCACTGAGAATTATGAGAAAGTTTAAGACTTAGTAGATTAAGACAGTCTGCCATCTTTCATTCTACGTTAAAATGCTGGTGTTGCAAAACGCCACAAATGGCCAAAATACAGAGAATAAGAGTCTGCAGAGTATAGGTCCTTGGACAGGACTCCTATGTTGAGTTCCACCCACCTAGGGTTCAGGGACCATTCCGGAAGAGGAGGCAGAAAGATTCAGAGTCAGGGAAGAGGTACATGACCATATGGAAATAGTCCTACAGAGGCCTGGGACCCTTCTCATACAGACCTACAGCAATGGTGTCAGCATGTACAAAGGCAGACAAAAACCCAGCACAGCATGTGGAAATGGACAGTAAGCCCCAGTCTTATTGGAAGAATTATTGGCAGCTGATTACTGCTGGGTGAGGAAGAGCTTATCTTCTCAAAGGGAGAGACTCTAGATAGGCTGACCAAACCCCGGTGGATAAACTTGCACTGAGTGACATCTGGGAACACTAACTTCACATAATAGGCTTTAACCCAAATGACAGAATGTATGAACTCCAGTGGGGGACTATGAGAGGGAGTCAAAGGGAAAGGGGGTATAAAGATGATTTTATGTATGAAATACACAAAAATTTTTAAAAAATGGTGGTGTTGCCAGGCATGGTTACACATACATGTCATCTCACCCCTTAGGAGGCTGAGGTAGGAAGAGTTTGAGGCAAGCCTGGGCAATACAGTGAGTTCCAGACCAGCCAGGGCTACATAATGAGACTTCCTCAAAAACTCTATGTGCTTGAGAATACTGGGTCAAATAGAAAAGGGCTTTGTTCTGAAGCAGTGTGTGTGCTACAGAAAGATCAGATTTGTATGACTTTACCACTAAGAATTGCTCTTTAAAGGCAAGCGACCAGCATCTACCACATACTAACTGTAAATCACTTAGCATTGGCTTCACTGCTTATTCTCGGTGTGCCTTAGTTTTCAAATTAATGAAACAGGTTATGAGGTTTATGTGAGTTATGAAGTTTAAACATGTTAAGTGGTTTAAGTGAGTTGTGTAGGTAAGGCGCCAAGAGCTGTGACTGGTCGTGGTAAATAATACAGTTGTTGCTGCCCCCATCCCCGCTCCCACTCCCCTACTCTTCCTCTTCCTATCGAGTTATGTGAACCTCAGTCAAGTGGGGGAAAGTAAACCCTGGTAGAACCTCACAAGCATCATGGGCCTATCACACTTGCTTCTTGTCTAACAAGAGACCCTGCCTACTACTCTGTGGACACAGAAGCATGATTTGATCCAGGCTGTAACCACAGCTCTGTAGTTGTGAGTGTTCGGCCGTTGGGTTTTACTATATAAGTGACATCAGTTATTGCAGAAGACTAACTAGCTTTTGGAGCCTGTTCTTTGAGACAAACTTGCTAGAAATTCAATTCCTTTCTTTTTAAAAGAGTTAATTTAATTTTCCTCATTGATATTCCAGAAACAAAATACTAGCAGTTTGTGTTTATAGAGTATAATGGTTTAAAGTGAATTTAATTTTCCTGAGTAACAGCTTTTAATAACGTATCCCTGAATTTTCTTCCTCTTGTCAGGTTGCTATCAAAATCATAGATAAGACCCAGCTAGATGAAGAAAACTTGAAGAAGATTTTCCGGGAAGTTCAGATAATGAAGATGCTTTGCCACCCGCATATCATCAGGCTCTACCAGGTAGGTGGACCAGTGAGTGGCCTAGGAGAGCCCAAGGCGGTCTGCTGTGTCCACAGCTGCCTTTGAAGAAAGTGTGGGTAGGGGGAGGTTTGTTTGTTTGTTTCTGTGTTCATTCTGGCATTGCCATACTCTTCTGTTTCCTTGCTCCGTGCTTCTCAGCCTAATCTTTCTCCTGTTTCTTTACTAGTGAGCTCTGCTTTAACCAGGCAGGTCCATTTCATTTGTCCTTTAAATAGTGATGCTTGATTCTCAGCAAGAATTACACAGAGTGTAAGGAGGTGATGAGAGCTTCCTTCATTTAGAGCAACAGGATGAGAAACCCAAAAGGACCAGAGAACTTTGAGAGATGAAAAACTAAAGATGAGTGTTATTTCCTAACACAATGCCAGTTTGTGTGATCGTGTTATGAATTGTGGTGGCACAGGATATTTCAAGTGTGACTTTTTGTCTCAACTCAATCAAAACCTCCCTTTTTCTCTTCTAGTAGATCCCTGGGCTTGGTTTTCCAAGGCAGTGTTAATTGTTACTGCTAATCTGGAGGCAAACTTTATGCCACGAGAGTGGTTTCTGTTACAGTTTTCTTACTTTCTTAAGAAGCATGTCTGCTTCATGCCTTCATCACAATGGTTCTCTAGCCTCACTGTGAAAGCAGTGATTCTGATGGATGGAATTTCAGAACAAGAAGGGAAGACCTTGCCAGCAGGCTGGTGGAAGAGATATTTTTAGAGAGGTGGGGCTTCTCAGATTGCAGCGTGTTGTGTGCATAGGCTGGCCCTGCTCAGAGCTCTGCAGCAGAACATTCATCTCCTAAGTTCAAGGAAGTGGCCACCCACTCAGTATGTTTGCTGCTGTTAGTCTGCAGCAAATGCTTCCTGACACAGATGTGTTCAGTATGGCACAATGGGCAAACCTGCATAGCCTGCTGATTTTATGGAAAAGAAAACATGATGTGAGGTGTGTGGTTAAGGCGCAGTGGTAGAACTCTATGCTGGCATCAGCTGCTCACATAATGAAATGAATTAATAAGACCTGTTCCTACTGACTTAATTCATTTGTATGAATTTATCATATGAAACTATGTTGGATAACACCTACCTTTTCCAAGAAGCAAACTTGTAAACCTCTCTGATGTTGCCTGAAGTTCTGTGAGGCAGCGGGTAGCTTAATCTTGACTTCCTTCCTGTGTTAGTAGATAGATTAAAACTGTTTTGCTTATTTGTTTTGTCTGTAGCCCAGATTGGTCTCTAACTCATGAGTCTCCTGCCTCATCCTTCCAAGTTTCCTAGGACTAAAGGCATACACTATCACTTCTGGCAGCTGAATGAATGCCTTGACTCCACTTTTGAAGAAAATCATCCTAAAGTAATTGTGGGGCTTAGGTTGACCCTATTCAGAAGGCTACTTTGTAGATATCAGCCTTATAAGCGAATCATCCAAGATTGTCCATTGTAACTCAGACTGGACTAGATTATTAAACTTGCCTTCTTAGCCTTGCTTGATGGCGCATGCCTTCAGTCCTAGTTCTTAGGAGGCAGAGACAGGAGGAGCTCTGTGAGCTTGAGGCCAGCCTGGTCTACATAGGGGGTTCAAGACCAGCCAGGGCTGCTTAGTGAAACCCTGTCTCACAAAACAAAACAAAATAAACAGCAAAAAACTTGCTTTCTCTAGCCTTGGCCTTGAACAGTGCCTTCTTTTAGGCTTTTATTTTTCTTTCTGGCAACTAGAACTGTTCAGAGGAGCTTCTGAGCTGCAGGATGAAAGGTTGGCAGGCTGTCTGCATATGGGATCAAGGCAGTTTCAGGCCAGTCTCCTCAGGTTTATAGAGGGAGCAAATGTGAGCACCTTAACAGAAAACAACTTCTCAGGAGTAGTAAAAGAACATTTACAGCTAACAGAAGTTTAAGAAAAGGAAGGAATACAAAGAAATACACAAAACGATACTTACTGAACACCTCTGATATATTTAATATAGGTGATTTTTTTTCTCACGTAATGAGTATTTAAAGAGATCTCTCAAACAGTGAATTGATTTGACCAATATATAGTTGTTTTTTTTTTTAAAGGACACAGCTATTTGAGTGGAAAATTAACTTAATATGTATTCATACAATGGAGTCTGCTGAAACCATTACAAAGATTACATACCTGTAATCACAGTACCTGGGAGGCTCAGGCAGGAGGATCGCAAGTTTAGGGCCAGCCTGGACTCTGTAATGAGTTCCAGGTTTGCCTGGTCTACATAGCAAGACCCTTCTAAAACAGACTAACAAAACCACAAAACAAAATGAAATAAGATATATGCTTATGTTGTAACACTGCATGTATAAGGTTTTAACATCCAGAGATAAAAAGTAGCTGGCAAGTAGTTTAATAACTGTAAAGTAACCAAAGTCTAGTCTGTGTTGTGTAACATGGAGGCTGTGGACTACATGTTGAGTATTCACATGTTGCTGTAGTAACTAAGGAACTGAATTTTAATTAATTTAATTTAATTAATTTAAATGTAAAAGTTGAAACAATCTAAAACAAAATTAAGATCATTGAGATGATAATGTTTTGGACATACTGAGGTAAAAATCTCAAAATTGTTGCCACTTTTTTTTTACTTTTAAAATGTGACTACTTAGAGCCAGGCTTAGTGGCACACACCTTTGATCCCATTGCTTGGGACAGAGGCAGGTGGATCTCTGTGAGTTCAAGGCCAGTCTGGTCTACATAGTGAGTTCCAGGATACCTGTGGCTACGGGGAGAGACTCTGTCTCAAAGCAAGCAAGCAAACAAACAATGTTAAGCCAAAATGTGACTACTTAGAAAAGCTAAAATTGTATATGCTGTTCACTTATTTTACTGAATTGCTGTTAGAGGAGAGATGCTAAGTTATAACAGTGTTTCTCTGGGAGAATGAGATACAGATGGAGAGGGGGTAAACCTTTGGCTGTTTCTTTACATATTGGGTGTTTGAAATCTTTGTAAGGAGTGTGATAGATATTCACATATGACTTAAAAAGGCTTGACTACAAGGAAAACAGCACTATAAATTTTTTAAAAAGAAGCAAAATAGTGAAGGCAAAGCCAGAGTGAATAAGTCATGTTATTAAAGTGTTGGTTTCTTCCCCCACTTTTGAAAATTAGTGGGCATAGAAAGGAAAGTTGACATTTCCATTATAAAAAGTAAATTTTGTGTGGTTTCTGTGTAGTCCTTAACCAATTTCCAGTATTTTTCCTAAGGACTTTTTTCATTTTGGTTGGGATTTTTTGGGAGGGGCATTTTTGAGCTTTAATTGTGAAATTGAATTTTTTTTTTTTTTAGTTCCTAGCTACTTGCTTCTCAGTTTATCAGATTGTAGAGACCTCAGGGAACAAGAGGACTTTCAAGTAGTAAATGTTTTCTGCTTTTAAGTACTGGGAGGAATACCTATTTTCTCCTTTCTTCATAATAGCATTTCTGTCTCTCCCACTGTATTAAGTTTTCTTTAAACAGCAAGGTTATTAATAGTTCAGATGACAAAAGGGGAGCCAGTAGTTTCCTTCCTGTAGTGTCAGCCTGTCGTCTGTGTCTGACATGTCCTGACACTTTCCTGCTCTGCACAGGTTATGGAGACAGAGCGGATGATTTACCTGGTGACAGAATACGCCAGTGGAGGGGAGATATTTGGTAAGTACATTCATTGAATTCTTTAAACAGCTATTGAACACACTATGGCAAACCTAAAATAGCTGTTCTGTACCTTTGTCCTGGGATCACCTGTCCCTTGATTGTGCCTGTCAGTACTGTCATTTTCTGTCCATTGAGTAATTTCAATTTTTTACAAAATCACCTAGCTAAATCCCCCTAACATATTTGTTTCCTTAGGAAAGGTGTTTTGTTTACTCTAGTCAGATGTTAACAACTGAGATTAAAGAGCTCCCAAACCAAAAATTCCAGATGTTAACAACTGAGATTAAAGAGCTCCCAAACCAAAAATTCCTTTTGATCATGTGACTGAGGGTCTTTTTTGTTGCCAGGCCATAGCTGAGGTTGCCAAGCATGGCGGAACTCCCACAAGTATTCAGGCTTCTGGTGGGAGGAAGCCTACCCCCTGGAGCAAATCTTCTCACCCTCTGCATTCCTTAATCCTGTTTAAATATAACCCAGACCCCTGTTCCCTGTGTGCTCACAGTTGCCCTGCATGGCTCTTGTCATTTTGGAGTTTAGCCTTCAGTAGCTACTCGTTTTTTCTTACACTTAACTTGAGTGCACCATCAGAGATTTTGTTATGGGCAAGTTTTGACTTTGAGGTGTTAAAATCCGGCTTAAGACTTCCCTTTGGTGACAGTGATTAACACAGCGAAATAGAAGGAAAGGGCAACCTTTAATTTTAAATTTGTATCTTTTTTTTTTCTTTTTGCAACTAACTGCTGTAGGAAATTATATTTTTGATTTATTTAGTTTTATTTTATGTGTATGAGTGTATTGCCTGCATGCATGTATGTAAGTGCACCTATGTCTTGCAATTCCTGCAGAGGACAGAAGAGGCCATTGGATCCCCTGGAACTGGAGTTATGGATGGTTGTTAGCTGCCATGTAGGTGCTGGGATTCAAACCTGGGTCTTCTGCAAGAACAGCTAATACTCTTAACCATTGAGCCATCTCTCTAGTCCTGGAAATTATTTTTTTTATTTTTATTTTTTGTCTTTTTGAGACAGGATCTCCCTGTAGCCCCAGCTGGCCTGGAACTCATTATGTGGACCAGGCTGGCCTTGAATTCACACAGAGCCACCTGCTTCTGCCTCCCAAATGCTGGGATTAATCCTGCTGGAAATTATTTTTTTTTATTTATTATTTTTATTTATGTGTATGTGTGTCTGCCTGCATGAGTTTATGTGCATCACATGTATGCAAGTGACTGAAGAGGCCAGGGAGCTTTGGATCCCCTGGAACTGGAGTTACAAGCTGTTACTTGTGAGCCACCTGATATGGATGCAGAATTCAGGTCTTCCGCAAGAGCTGTAAGCACTATTAACCACTGAACCATCTCTCTAACCCTCCAACATTTCTTTTTAAAAAAATACATTTTAGGTTGCTCTCATTTTTGCATGTTTTTAATTTTATAAGAATTAATATTTGAGGAACTGGAGAGATGGCTCAGGGGTTAAGAGCATTGGCTGTTCTTGCAGAGGACCCTGGTTCAAATCCCAGCATGCACGTGGTGGCTAGCAACCATCCTTAACTCTGGTTCCAGGGGATCTAACACCCCCTTCTGACGTCTGTGAGCATTACACAACATGGGTGTACTTACATATATGCAAGTATAATACTCATACACATAAAGATAAAATTTTAAATTTTATAGAAAAATATATTTGATCTGGGTGTGGCGGTGCATGTCTTTAATCCCAGCACTTGAGAGGCAGGGGCAGGTAGATCTGTGAGATCAAAGCCAGCCTGGCCTACATAGTGAGTTTCAGGTCAGGTTATAGGGAGACCCCGCCTCAAAAAGACAAAAAAAAAAACCCCAAAAACCCCAAAAACATATATATATGGAAAACATCTCATTTAAAATGGAAATTCTTACTAATTAAAGGATGGTGTGGCTCTGTGGGATATTGTGTGTGCATGTGTATACACATTTTAAGCTTTTCTCACAGCTTAATATTTTTTCATCTAGTATTTGCAGGGTGTTATTCCTTTTTAATAGAGGATCAAATGTTTCTTAATCTTATCTTCAAGAAACTGTGTGTGTCGTTATTTTATGCCAAAGTTAATGGTGATAGAATAAAATATATAGCCTGAATATAGTGTTGGAAGAGATACTTTATTTAAAAGAAATTAATGGATTAAAATCTTTTATTTTTATTTTTATTTTTTTGCTAAAATATTTTATTTTTTTTTTATTTTATGTGTATTGCCTACATGTAGATAAGTGTACCCGTGTTGTGCAGTGCCCGTAGAGGACAGAAGAGGCTGTTGGATCCCCTGGAACTGGAGTTACAGACAGTTGTTAGCTGCCATGTGGGTGCTGGGATTTGAACCTGGGTCTTCTACAAGAACAATCAGTGTTCTTAACCGCTGAGCCATCTCTCCAGCCCCCTTATTTTATTTTTTAAATTTATTTTTGTTGGGTATGGTGGTGTATGCCTTTAATCCCAGCAGAGACAGGCAGATCTCTAAGAGATTGAGGCCAGCCTGGTCTACACAGTGAGTTCCAGGCCAGCTGAACCATCTCTCCAACTCCGCATTAAAATCTTTGACAAATAATATTATATGGCAAGAAGATAGGGTAGGCTTTTAGTGCATATTATAATTGTATGCCAATCAATTGCTTTGGAGATGCTGGCTTCATATCAAGACACCGATTTTTCCCTCCATGAAAGTCTAGTAAAAGCCCAACAGGAAATCCACATGTCCGTTAGAATATGAGAACCTGACCTGTAATCCTCTGTGTAGGAGTGTAGCAGTGGTGTTCATGGCAGCTTGATTGCTTTTGGAGACCACAGACGCTTTCCTGGTTTAATATGTAAGTCCATGCACCAGAAAATAGACACTTGTCAGAGACTACTTGGAGAGAGAGAAATGGCTTTATGTTACTTGAGGGAGTGTCCTGAGGCCTGACATGCCTGGCACAGGTTAATGATGAAACTTCTTTATTTTGTTTCACAAATGTACCAAAAAGCAAATGGACAACTTTCACTATCTAGATACCTTTTTATAAGCTTTATTTTATAAAGAAGCAAAACATCTCTGAAATCTTTGAGCTACTTTTTGGGTATGTCCTAGAACATTTATTCATAGAGAAGCAATGGTAATCTTGAAATAAAAGAGACTGGATCTTCTTAATGTTCCCAATATTCTAACAACCAAGCACATTAGATCTACCCTGTGTTTTGAGAAACAGATCTTGAAAGTATAGGAAAGATGGCATTTCTTTGATTATGAATTCTTTGCAACTCAGTGAATGAGCAAGCAGAATGTGCTTTTGGTATTTTAAAAAAGAAGTATCGTGTAATTATATAACACTATAAGTAAATATATTATCAATTGACATTATTAATATTGTATGTGTGTATTTATGATGTGTGTTTGAATAGTGTAGGTATGCCTGTGTCAGAGCATGTGTTTGGAGGTCAGAGGCTTTTGGGAATTGGTTTTTGCTTTCCATCTTGTTTGGAAGGCAGGGTTTCTCTTGTTTCTGCTGTTTAGCTTTTTTTTTTTTTTTTTTTTTTTTTGTCTTTTTGAGACAGGGTCTCCTTGTAGCCCCAGCTGTCCTGGAACTCACTATGTAGACCAGGCTGGCCTTTGAATTCACAGAGATCCACCTGCCTCTGCCTCCCAAGTGCTGGGACTACAGGCTTGTGCCACCACACTTGGCTTCAGCCACATACTCTTAAGCTGGCTGGCCCAGGAACTTCTGCGTGATTCTTTTGTCTCTGCCCCCATCTTGCTCAGATTACAGATGCTAATCACTTCATCTGGCATTTTCCATGCCTTCTAGGCATCTGAACTCAGGTTTTCAGGCTTGCAGGTAAGGTCTGTAGTCCTGAAGATGAAATGAGGGCTGAGGGTGTAGCATAGTGGTACTGGGCCTGCTGATGTGTGTCCCCAGGCTTGATTCTTCAGTACTGGGGAGGAAAAAAAAAGGTGTAATGAGCCACCATGAATAGAGCTTTTGTGCATGTTTCCTTTTACCTTCATGTTAAAGAACAAATGGGAAACCAGCTTCTGGCATGAGATGTATTTAAAAGGGGGAAAGTGTACATAAGTGATCCTAAGGGCAAACAGCAAACAAAGAGATGTTTCTCCACAAACAGTAAGAAATGAGACAGTAGTTCGAGCTAGCCCTGGTCTCACCCCTTCCCCTTGTCGGCTCAGTGAGATAGAGCTAGATTGTAGTCCAGACTTACATAGCCAAGTCTTGATACCAGCCTCTGAAGAGATGGCTGCTTTCCCAGAAGGAGCAGGATGGCCAGCATTTGCTATGGCTAGGGATGTATCCTGGAGCATAAAGTTGAATTGGGGACTGTCTGCCCAGAGATGTGTATCACTGTGCTGGACAGCTTTAGTTATCAACTTGTCACAACTGGGTAGACGGAGCCTCAGTTGGAGAATTCCCTCCATTGGACTGGCTTGTGACCGTGTCTGTGAGGTATTTTCTTGATTTTTGAGTGATGTGGGAGGGTCCAGCTCACTGTGGACATTGCCAACCCGCCCCCCTCCCCAGTTGTTCTGTATTGCACAAGAAAGCAGGTTGAGCAGGGGCCAGGGGAGCAAGCCAGTAAGCAGTGTTCCTCCATGGCTGTGCTCCATCTTCTGCCTCCAGGTTCCTGCCTGGAGTTCCTACATTGGGTTCCCTTAGTGATAAACTGTGACCTGGGAGATGTAAGCTAAATAAACCCTTTCTTCCCCAAGTTGGTATTGGTCAGAGTGTTTTGTCACAGCAGCAATTGAAGGCAAACTAGAATAATCACTCTTGCCTTGGGTCATAAGACAGTGGTTCCATGCCAGCTGAGGCAGTCTGAAGACCCCAGGATGCTCTCCCCCTTTTCCTTCCAGAGCTCTCGCCTTCCAGAGTGAGATTGTCATGCAGAAGTTTACCTTTGACTAACTCTGGGTACTAATTCAGAGTTTGTTTTTTTTTTTTCTTCTGGGAACAAAAAAGGGACCATAAAACAGATAGA